TGGCGGCGCGTGGTCATTTTGACAACCGGGGCAAGCTACTGCGGGACCAAGTCACCCCCATCTACGGGACAGGATGAGCGCTGTAAGTTCTCCCATCATTTTATGAGTATAAAAACCATTCCATCAGTAACAACCACTCGGCAAAAAGCGACAATTTTTAACGATAAGAAGTGTCTTTAAAACCGATCCAAGTCAAGGGATTAATAAATTTAGACATAGTTTATTTTGAAACCTCTTTCAAAAGGAAAGGCAATATTTACCCAGATAAATACAATGACATATTAACAGAAACTTCGGGAAAGCAGACAAAACCTAAAATAAGGTTAAAACGTTACTATGAAGAAAGGAAAGTTAATGCAAAGATAAGGACATGCGGTCGCTCACTCATAGATATATATGCTGCTAGACTTCTACTGCTTGAACATATATGCAACACGACGCGGTTTCTTGGAAGCAAAATGCTCAATAACGCGCTGATTAAAGTCATGCATCCCAGAAATAACGTCTCTGTGAATGGATAAAACAGCCACGGAATTAATCTATCTTGCTTCATTGTGTTTCTGAGATACGTTTTAATACGCTTCAGCGTGCGTCGCGGAAGGAAATAGGCGTCGTCAAAATGATGTCCAGAAATTTTGCAGACGCCGCAAAGGTAGTTACTAGAGTGTTATCTATGAGGAACCCATAGAGCGCGCAAGTTGAAGTTTGATTGGTGTATATACATCGCAATTCATTTTCCAATTTACCCACGTATCATGGGTAAATTGGGACAGTAGCCAACAAATGGATGGAAATTGACGTGCAAATTTTGAAAAATTTTGGGGTTCATCAAAGAGAACGCAGCAAGGTGTTCAGTGCGCAGACGATCGCCTATTTGATTCACCAGAATGTCACAGCATCTCCTTTGCAGACAAAATCAAACGCTGCGTTGTTTGCCCGCGGCGTAAAGAAGCACTCCATGTGTCGTCGTATTTTATTGTTTCCCGGGATACGAGATACAGCATCGCAGAAGTCTGAAATACACGACTGCACAGACGCTCCATCCATTAGCCTTGACTGCAATGTGCCGATATAATACATCCACGTGATAGAATATTGTGGAGAAAAAATGAAAACTCACCATCTTCTAGCAGACGCTTTAGACCTGCCGCCTCCCTCACAGAGCGTTCGTCCCAAACCGGAGAGCTCTGAATGCCATTGAAACACTCAATGAGCTCAGACCTAATTTCGGACACGCCCTGCCCCACGCGTGATTGGAAGTTCCAACGTGTTGGTGCACAAAGCTGGGAGACGCGACTACATATCTGGCGAAGGAGGTCAGAGTGCTTCGGCGAAACGGAAAAAAATGAAGAAAACCCCGAAACATTTGCAAAAAATATACGGACGAGAGGTATCAAGACACAATATTTTTAATAACGAGGTTAAATTGGGTGTGCATAACAATGTAAAAAATGCGCATGAGGAAAATCTTCTTTTATATAACTTGAACACCCATGTTTCGACCCACTCATGACTGCCGCGCCGTCATAAGTTTGAGCTATCAATTTTGACTTCGTGTTGTAAGGCTGTACACTTCTTTCAGTACAGCCGATATCCGCAAGCCGTGCGATCAACGATTGGTACAAATAGTCCGGCAGATAAGGGGACCTTTTTGGCCCAAGTTTGATTCAGACATAAAGTTTTATTATTTGTGATTATTCATCTTGGGGTCATTGCCCATCATTTCTACATGGGTGTGGAGTTTGCAGCCTTGAGCAATTTTTTTTTACGGCTCGATATTTGTATTAGTGTTTTCGTCAAACCTGTGCATCATGATGACGCACAACCTGAATCATAACCTGTTACAATACTATGTTCAGGTTGTGCGCAATCTTGGTGCACAAACTACGCAAGCACCAAATTTACTAGGAAATAATCAATAACTTTTAGGTATTTATTGAGATATTTGTATTAGAGTTTTTCGTCAACATGTTGCATCATGATGACGCACAACCTGAATCATAACCTGTTACAATACTATGTTCAGGTTGTGCGCAATCTTGGTGCACAAACTACGCAAGCATCAAATTTACTAGGAAATAAAATTCATCAACATCATAGGTATTTTGTTGAGCCCAGCTTTGGGTCGCGAACCCCATATACAGTATATGAAATACTGTCGAACATACGCGTAAATAAAGAGTACTATTTCAAAATACCCGTTTTTGTTGCAATTAACAATACAAGTCTGCCTAATGCAGTCGCCAGTGGGTTCAAGTGGATATTACACCCCGGTGGGAGAAACAGTCAATTATTTGTTAGCGAGAATTGTTATGAGCGGAGATGATCACGACGACGCAGAGAAGATAATGATATCACGAGAACAAGAATGAGAAAAATGCTACATTTTATGGTATATCCCTGAGAAAGAATGTAGTTCATTCTTATGTTCCATGCCAATGCTTTTCAAACTACCCAAAGACTCCTCAACACTTTTGCTTCTTCTCTTCTATAAAAATTCATTGTTATTATATATTCGCATTTCCATCTGTTTGTTCGTGCTCCCAGATAGCCGATCAGCGGCCTCCAAGGAGGACGGGGTCCCCTTTTAATAAACCATGTCATAAACTAAAAAGAGGCCTTGCCTGTTGTCATGCTGTCCCTGGAATTCAGCTACAACAAAAATTCACGAAAACGGATTTTTAAATTTTATGATTTTATTAATATTCTCAACAATGAATGATATACGAGTGGTATAATGCCAAGTTATTCCAACAACATGAATCATGTTTTGCAATTTACAACCAATATTTGTATGGAACTTTGTTTGACAGAGCCCCAAGAGCTCTAACTACACATATCAAAAATGTGAGGCCAAAATAGTCACACTACAACATTGTCAAATGTGCTGTATTTACGATAGATAACAGGTTTACCAAGAAGAATTACATGAAAAATGGTAAAATAAAGATCAATTCAGTAATATCCACTTGGTGATATGCATATGTTGATGATTTTATGTGTTTATTTCGGAAGTTTAATAACAGAATTAATCGTGGTTGCTGGGGATGTTTTAAAAAGGTTGCATGGAGAAACGTTTTCACAAAATGTCAAGGTTTGATGGTAGTAGAGAAGTAGGAAATTACCCAAATGTTTTTTTTTCATTTGATAACCCGCCACAGAACTTCCCCCGATAAGTATACGCAGCAATTGCGAGAGGCAGAAATGCCAAGATGGGATTTCATCGCATTGCAAACCAATATTAATAATTCTTTATATATATTCGCGCATTTCCATCTGAACAGCGTGGAAAAAGATTATACCCATCTACACACTTTAAGAACTATGTCAGATGAGCGTCATATTATCGAATATCAGTAGAGGAATAGTGCAATGGGAAAAAACATATAAGGCGGAACTTTCAAGTAGTATTGCAATCAAATAATCTTATTGTATAATATATATTTAAAAACATTTCGTCACGCCAGCTGCAGTCCGAAACTTTTTGTCTCTGGCTGAGCTTAGGATACCAATTGGCACTCATGTAAACTGGTAAGACTGTAAGAGGCACGCGATGGAGCAGATACAAGAGTATACATCCCCCAGCTGTCATTTGAGTGGGTACTGCTGTTTTTATTGCAGATGTTACTGATCTTTCTGTATTAAAGATTTACTGGCATCACCGATTTAAGGATGTTGGAAACCAACACGCAATATTACAAAACTTACTTTCAACACGCGGTTTGAATGAATGAAAAAGCTGAAAACTAGTTTCTTTTAGAACAGCATACAAATTCTATGGAATGAAATCATACACAAAAGCTCGTTAAAACCTATAGCTCAATAATCAAGTGGAATTTGATGCATGTGCGCAAAAAGTTGCGCGTTACTACGTACAACCGAAGCACGCAGGAAAATGTGTGTGATGTACTAGTATATCAAAACGTTTGACTCAACTATGTTGGCATAACAGGTGCACATCTCGGTTTCGCATTACGCATACCTTCTATCTCCACAAGGATATATTAATTTTGCCAAAGTCAATGCAGCACTGAAAGGTTGCGGTTCTTCCAAAAGAAAACACGTTACACATCTTTAGTTACCAGTGGATGATTTTACATGGCCTTGTTCGGAGTGAAAGACGAGGTCAAATATTCCAATCCAATTCAACTAATAAAATATTTCCAAGTCCCGAAGCTTAAACTTAGGAAAACGAAATGCGCGCAGCAACGCAAATGTAGTTTGAAGAGGCGGCAATAGAAAGTGGCTAGATGCTGTTCGATGGATCTTGGCTTGTATTAGTGAAATAAACTACCATTTTTTCTACTAAATTGAATTTCTGACATTGTAAGAAGATTCAATGTTACTATGTATGCAAAAATAAACCATGTAGTTATGAAATAATTGTTTTTAACAAAAAGGCGCTCCCTGAAGTATTCGTACCAAGATGGCGCACAACCTGAACATTGTATGTTTACCAGGTTAGGGATCAGGATGTGCGTCATCTTAAACCGAATACTTTGAATCCACCTTAAAAAAAATTGCTCAACATTATAATACTCCACACCCACCTGGGTATCATTATATATGTCTATACATTATATCTAAACAATAAAAAAACTTTTCTGCCGGATTAAAGCTGTGAAATCTCTCGTAGGTTTACCATCTTTCACAAACAGACAAATCACAGCCAGTTGGGAAACGCACGTAATGTCAGTTTGTCTCGTCAGACTGAATCGAAAGGAACTGGCAATTCTCAATTTCCAGAGCCAAATGTTGTAAATAAAATTTTATACATTGAGTCGAGCAAATCATTTTGGACATCCTTAGATGTCCCTTTCGAAAACAGTTGCGGGCATCAAGATGATCTCTCAATACTGTATCTAGGGATGCGGTGTATTCCACCATATCCAAAAATACC